TTAGCCAATCAGTGGGCCGAAACGTCGGCTCGGCGGTTGGCGCGAGTTCCAGCCGTTAGGCCGCCTAAGTAGCCAATGGGCGTTGGCCGGTGGGGAGGGGGGGGCGAGGCTGGCCCTCGCTGGCCGTGGCCCCGCCCTCCGCTTCCCCCACTCTCCCTCTTTCTCTCTCTCCCCCCCCCCTCTTCCTTTCGCCGCCGGCTCAGGTGAGCGAGGCTAAAGGCGCGGCGATGGTCGCCATTTCCTGAGCAACCCCCCCCACCCGCGGTGACGGCGCAGCGGCATCAGCGCTGACGTGGGGGCGACGCGCGGCCTCGCCCGGCCCAATCCCTCCTCCCCGACCTACTTTCCCCTGTGACGGGGGCGCCACGTACTCGGGTGAGTCGCAGGAGGGGGCGGGGACAAGGCGGGAGCGCGCAAGGCGGCCGGGCCCTTCCGAGGGGGCGGCCTGGGTTTTGAGGAGGGGAAGGCGGTTGGGGCGGCGGGGCGAGCTCTGACAGGCAGCTCCGAAGGGGCTAGGCGAGACGGCGAAGACCGGGAGAAGCGGGGGGGGGCAGCATCGGCGGCGCTCGAGGGAGGCTGAGTCAAAGCCTGGCTGCTTTCTCCCTCACACACGAAGGCCGAAATCAACGCGGCTTCGTTGTGACACTCAAGAGACCGGCCGTGTTGCCCCCTCTGCGCATGTGCAGAGTGGCCACCGTCCCACGCACCGTGGCAGGTTTCAGAAAACACAGTATTTTTTCCCCTGGAGGGACACAGACCCCATGACATTTGGTGAATCTAAGTTTGGCCTCATTGAGGAGCCGTATTTCAGTATTAGTAGGAAAATGAGAGAACCCATATATATATTAGAATAAAAGCACTGAACACAGTAATACTAAAAATACAGTGCGATCCTGTTCAGGGTTACTTGAGGGGAAGCCCCACTATGTTCCTCTATAGTGCGTATTTGCCAGTGAGTAGCCGTAGGGTATCCGTAGCCTGCCAACCTAGCAGTTCGAAAGCACCTCCGGGTGCAAGTAGGTAAATAGGGACCGCTTACCAGCGGGAAGGTAAACGGCGTTCCGTGTGCTGCGCTGGCTCGCCAGATGCAGCTTGTCACGCTGGCCACGTGACCCGGAAGTGTCTGCGGACAGCGCTGGCTCCCGGCCTATAGAGTGAGATGAGCGCACAACCCTAGAGTCTGGCAAGACTGGCCCGTACAGGCAGGGGTACCTTTACCTATCCGTAGGGGACGTGGGTGGCACTGGGTTAAACCACAGAGCCTAGGACTTGCTGATCAGAAGGTCGGCGGTTCAAACCCCCGCAACGGGGTGAGTTCCCGTTGCTCAGTCCCTGCTCCTGCCAACCTAGCAGTTCGAAAGCACAAAGTGCAAGTAGATAAATAGGTACCGCTCTGGCGGGAAGGTAAACGGCGTTTCAGTGCGCTGCTCTGGTTCTCCAGAAGTGGCTTAGTCATGCTGGCCACATGACCCGGAAGCTGTACGCCGGCTCCCTCGGCCAATAAAGTGAGATGAGCGCCGCAACCCCAGAGTCGGCCATGACTGGACCTAATGGTCAGGGGTCCCTTTACCTTTATCCGTAGGGGAATGGCTGCAGCTCAGGGACAGAGCATCTGCTTCGCAGGGTCTCTGGGCAGGGGTGGGAGAGAAATCCCATTTTAACCCGCTGCTGGTCAGTGCAGACAATACTGAGCTAGATGGACCAATGGGCCTGACTCAGAAGGCAGCTTTCTGCATTTCCTTCCTAAAGGCATAGTCTTCAACATGTTTATGCAGGAGTAAGCCCTGCTGAGTTAAAACAAACTTGTGCCCTAGTAAAACGTGTTTTAGGATTGCAGCCTTAATCCTGAGTTTGTGCTTTTTCTCCTCTGGTGTTTCCATCTTTTTCAAGAGATTACCTCTTTGGTAACTATGCTGCTGCTGCGGGTAGGGTGCGGAGTTTAATAGAAAGAAAGGGGTTAAGTTAAGCCCTGCCTTAGGCTAGATATGAAAGAGGAAGCAACACATTAGGAATATGGAGTCAGAACTCACATGGAGATAAGAAAGAGTTATGGGGAGGCCTCCCCTTAGTGATAGGTTTGGGCTTATCACATTAATTAAGAATGAGAAAGGAAAATTTGAAAATAAAGCAAGGAGAGTTCCATTGTGATCCAGTGGCTGCAGTTGGCCTCTAATAAGCAAACACATCATTCAGAAGATACGATGTTATGGTCTCACTGTCTGATCTGGCCTTGGTCAAGTTATGCTATCATAGCCTCAGTTTGAAGGCAAGAAAGGAATCCTAGCAATGATCTGTCACACTCTTTTGGTAAGCATGAGCATACAGATTGTAAAGCATATTACAGTTTAAATTTTAACAGGATGAGCCCGGGAAATGCAATATTTGCTGATAGCAAAAGAAAGAGAGTATACGTTCTGTGTACGGAAGGAAAGAGGATAGTTTACAAAACATTAAAGTGTATTTTTAGCTGATTAGTGTGATGTAACCCAATGCAGACCCCCCTTATAAATGTTTCATAGGTCAAGTCTTGTGAAGCTGCTTGGCTGTTAGTATGAAATAACTGGCTCTTCATTGAACACAGTGGGGCTTCCTTTTGAGTAAGCATGCCTAGGATTGCTTTGTTTGACTGTTTCATCTGTCTTTCATGCATACCCTGCCACAGATTGTAGAGAAAATGTAAGAAACAAAGGCACCATATTCTCCAGCAAGGCTGAAGGAATTTGTCAAAGGAGCCACCAGTTTTTCTTTATCTTGAAATAGAAAACACTAGGCTTCAATTAGAAAAAAGGGAGTGTATGAGGGGTAATATTACAAACAACCAAGGCATACATAATCTCCCTTCAGACTGTATATGGAAAGCCTTCATGCAGACCCTGGCTGTCTTCGATAACTTTGACTTTCGATTTTGTTGATAAAAATATCTAATTTATTTGTTGCAGGGTGGTGTCATTTAAATACTGCTTAAATGGAGTAAAATAACTAGTAAAGGCAGTGCTTCTCTCTTCATCTTGCCCTCCCCCCAAAAGCTATACTCTTTAGGCATAACAGTGTTTAGTTGTTGGTTATACAGAATAACAGAGCAAGTGAGACAGTATCTGGTCCAGTGAAAGTAATCTTATGCACAAAAACAGGAAGCAGAATTGAAAGTTTCACAACTTTCAAGGAATAGGGGTTTTTTGCCGTTATTTCTAGTGTTTAAACGAACTAGTACATCAAAATAATAGCTCAAGCCCTGCACTAATTTTAAAATCTAAAAGTATAAACAAAAGGGAAGCAGAGGAAGGAAGGTACAGGAGAAAGGTTAGTTTTCATGACATATTAGTGAGTTTCTTAATGGGCATTTAATTCCAGTAGTGATCAGGTTGATCATCCCTTTATGTTATTGCTGGGACATAGGTGATATAGCTATGTAATAGTCCTTGGTTCCATGTAACAGTAAGCAAAAGGTGTTTAAGGAACACATAAGTCAAGAATCATTGCACTGTACCATGTCATATAATGAGGTTTGGGTTTTCCTCTAGAACATGTTTATGTATGTATTGTAACAAAAAACATAGCTGTTTAGTGTACCTTATACCTCCATTGTATCTGTATTATGGGTATGGCTTTATTGGCTCTTTTGAACTTGGAATGTTAAATGAAACAACTGCTGTTTAGTATGTTCTTCTGTAAATAGTCACCTAAAAATGATGCTGTATTAACTATAGTTACCTGAAAAGGACTTGTTTTCAGCTAAATGTGAGATTCATGCTTTTTTCAGTCAAAGTCACTGTAGTGAGGAAAATTTCAGGCTGTGCAGTATATGAAGCTATGTTTAGCATTTTTTTTTCTTCATACTTCAACATTTCCTGGACCAGGATGCAGCTCCATCACGTACAGAGAAGCAGCACAGATGATTTTTATGTCATCACGAGTTGAAGTGTGAAATTATGAAATGCAAGGTTTCAGAGTCTTTGAAGCCACAATGAAAAATGGAGAGAAATTTCTTTCTCTTGCACATGAACATGAAAAAATACCCAGCATCAAGATTTATGAACTACATCCATAAACTGTTAACTGCAAATAATTAATGGTAACAGTATAACAAGGCTTTGCAAAAATAAACAAAAAAACAAACCTATAACTTGGAATAAAGTAAAATTTTGAAAGTGTACTTTTAAGACATCATCAGCATAATGCTGCATATTCTCATTCAATTATTCAGCAACTTTCATTATTAAACATTTGGATCCACTCTTGTTTCTAGAATGTGAAATAAGATTCCGTGTTTCCTGAGAATATATTCTATAAAGTGCAAAACTATGTAGATTTGTTGTAGGATGTATTTTCTTGCATCCAGGCGGGTGTCCCTCCCCAAATAAAGGTTTGTTTCCAAAGTTTGAGGCTCTTCTTTGTGTTAAAACCCTTCTATATTTGTGCTGGGGAGTGTTGGAGGTGCACTCTCACTTCACATGGGGTAACAAGCCTCCTAAACATGTCAAATCAATGGGGCATGTGCCCTACAACAAACCTATCTCAGAATCTTTGGCCATGGACAGAAATTCTCTGGCAAGTGAATGCGTATTGTTTACCTGATGTATGGAAAATACTTGCTGACAAAAGTTTGAAAACCACAGTTGTGGAGTATGAAATCTCCAAAAATGGAGTTGAACATTGTGGCATAGGTACCTTGCATCACACAGTCTTCCTTGCATCGCAATTAGGTCTTCAAAACTCTTGTCAAATCTTTAATTCAGACCTTTAGCTAAGGTGCTTCCCCCCTCCCAATTCTTCATTGGGTGAGTGTGTTCCATAATACTTATAAAATCTCTTGCGTGTGATTGAACGAAAGCTTTTTTTCTCTTTGCGCTTCTGTTCAATATTCTAATGAACCTTGTGTATTGTAACATTGTGAGTGTTGGTTGCTATGGTAGTTAGTTATGACATCATAAATGGAACATAACTTCACTGCAAGGTTCACTAAGAGGGAGAGTGGTCTGGAGAAGGAAGAAGTCCTTAAAAAAAATTCAATCATAATGAGCAAATGTGGCAAAAAACAGCATGCAAGAATTAACATAAGGTAGCCATTGTATAATTAATAATAATATAATAATAATAATAATTTATTTATACCCCGCCCATCTGGCTGGGTTTGTTAAAATATGTTCCCACACTGCAAATATGTAGAATGTGTTTCATATATTAGTGGATCAGATAACCTGAGGAACAACCAAGCACATAAAGATCTTAACATTTAGAATGAAGGCTTTTCTTTATGTATTCAATCTAATGCTCTCAATTTGACTAGCAACAAAGTTGAAATTTTTATGTCAAACTTTTTTTAAAAAAATACTCATTTACTTGCTAGACATGATTTTTTTGTAGGAGCCAATTAATGAAATGTAATATCTATCCAGGGCCCAGTGTTGTACAACATATTTATAAATGACGACTAAAGTAATAGAGAGGATGCTTATCAGATTTACAGATGACACCAAACTGGGAGTGGTAGCTAATATCACAGAAGATAGAACAAGGATTCAAGATGAGTTTTACAGATTGGAGAACCGGGCAGATTGGAAAATAAAATGATTTTTGGTATGGACAAATATAAGGTTCTACACTTAGGGAGGAAGAACCAGCTGCACAAATTCAGGATGGGGGACACCTTGACAGCAGTACATGTGAAAAGGATCTGGGGTGTCTTAATGAGTCCACAAGCTTAACATAAGTGAGATATAGCAGCAAAAAGGCAAATGCAATTCTTGACTGCATCAACATAAGTTTAGGGTCCAAAACAAGGAAAGTAATAGTACTACTCTATTCTACCTGGTCAGACCCTACCTGGAGTACTGCATCCATTTCTGGGCACCACACAGGATATTCACAAGCTGGAACATGTGCAGAAGAGGGCAACCAAGATGATCAAGGGTCTGGAAACCAAGCCTTATGAGTAATTGCTGAGGGAGTTGGGTATGTTAACCTGGCAAAAAGAAGTGAAATAATAATCTTCAAATATCTCACGGCTTGTCACAAGCAATCTTATTTTCTGCTGCTCCAGAGAGTAGGACTTAAACCAAAGGATGCTAATTATGAGAAAGGAGATTCTGACTAAACATTAGGAAGAACTTTCTGATGGCAAGAACTGTTTGACAGCAGAACAGACTACCTTGGAAGGTGGTAGGCGCCTTCATTGGAGGTTTTTAAACAGGTTGGATGGCTATCTGTCAGGGATTTTTTAGCTGCAATTCCTGCATTGCAGGGGATTGGATTAGATGACCCCTAGGGTCCATTCAAAGTCTACAGTTCTTTGATTCTATAACCCTTTATGTCATATAGCTGCAGGTGCCAGATAGCCAAGACTGCCACCATCACGGTGGCAGCTGCATCTCTACATAATTCACATTCACACAGACACATATTTTGGGGTCACTGTGAAAACCTAGTTTCCTTTGGGATAAGGAGAATTATATGGTGCATTACACACCGACTTTTTGCAGACATGTATCCATATATTGTTATCATGCACTGCTTAAGAAATTTTAAAAATATAAAGTGGTATATAAATGCCTTTGAATAAATAAGTCATGATGTCCACGGAAAAATGACATTAATAACTCTTGATTTCAACGAGTCTGCTTTGAGTGACTAATACCTGATACCACCCATAATAATTACCGGTAGCTTCATGTATCCTAAGCTAATTCTACAAGCCAATGTTACGGGTTGAAAACAACTACAGTACAGTTCCTTCAAAATATTTCTCTCTCTCAAAAGATTGACATGCAGAATTTACTAGTCTACAAAGACCTTGATTTAGGAGAAACAAAGGCTGAATGACTTCCAACTGAGTTCTTACACACTAGAGTAGTTTCACCCCAGAGCCAGCTGTTAAAGAGAATGCTTTCCTTTCTCCTAAGTGATACATAAAGCTATTGGCTTTAGACTATTTTAAAACCAATGAATTCAACAGAAGTTTCTGCAAGAAAAACCTCTGTGTGTGTCTGTATACTGGAAAATTGTTTCAGACCAACATGGCACATTCAGCTACAACTTGTGTCCCAGCATCTGCTCTGATGTTCCCAGGAATCATGGGGGGCCCTTTCATTTCCTCGTTGGCATTTCCAAAAACATTTTCTCACCCAAAGGTACCAGTTTGGTTACTTATGCCGTCATGCTGGTCCTGGCGTCTTGAAATGTACTGAGCATATGTTTGTCAAAGACACTTCCTGTAACCTTAAATGGATGTGATCTTTTCACCTATCTGGACATGCCTTTTGGTACCTGAACAAACTTGGGGTTATTGTGAGCTTCTTGTCCTTAACAGTGCAAGGACTCAATCTTTTTATTCCTTGCACTGTTATCTCCTCTAACTTGTTTTCTTAAATACAAAAAGAAGAAAATCATGCTATTTTAAAAGTAAGATCATATATATTGTAACATCTGCTATTTTACATAACCCAAGATATAAGATAGAAACCAAAACATAATATGTTACATGCACTCCAGTCTCTTAAGTAGTGAGAAGTTTCAGGGCTCCCAGCAAAAACCTTGGGTTTTCTTTTCTTAGAATGAAGGTAATTGGAGACTTGTGATGCTAATGTGATATAAGTCTTATTTACACACATACTCTGCACAAACCTGTGATGGAAAATTCACTGCATTAACACTCCAATAGATCCTGTTCCTCTTCAGATTTCTTGGAAGTACAAAGATTTGCTTTCTTCCAGAGAGTAAATCAAGCCTGTGTGCCTCTTTCAAATCCAGTTTCAAGGCTATTGTTCCCTTTTGTTCTCTTTAACTGCACAACAAACCTCTTGAGGACACCACCTCCAGCACCTGGGTGGAGAATAAAGTTCTCTACCAGTTTGCTCCTATGGCTACTTGGCTAACTAGCTATGCAAAGCTCATTCCTTTGAACAAATATGCCAAGGTAAACTGGTCCAATCTATTTTTATTTTCTTAGCAGTCTCTTTTTACAACCAAAGTCTCAGGGCTTGGGTGGTGGTTCAGAAAACCAGTTAACAGGCCTGCTATTGGGACAGCAATGAAGCCCAAGAGATATACTACTAAAACTTGTATTTGTTGTTTAGTCATTTAGTCGTGTCCGACTCTTCGTGACCCCATGGACCAGAGCACGCCAGGCACTCCTGTCTTCCACTGCTTCCCGCAGTTTGGTCAGACTCATGTTTGTAGCTTCGAGAACACTTGTATACTCAAGTGTAAACCCTGTTGAAATGGGGGGGTGCTTATTCCCTGGTAAATGGGGTTAGGATTACAGCCTAAATCTAATTCCAATCTATTTATACTAGGCAAAAAGGCAAGGTAAAGGACCCTTGGATGGTCAAGTCCAGTCAAAGGTGACTATGGGGTGCAGCGCGCATCTCGCTTCAGGCCAAGGGACTTTGGCGTTTGTCCACAGACAGTTTTCCAGGTCATGTGGCCAGCAAGACTAAACCACTTCTGGCACAACGGAACACCGTGACGGAAGCCAGAGCACACAGAAATGGCTTTTTATACTATGATAATCCAAATGGACCCCGTTTATAAGAAAGCCAAAACCTCTATGATTCTATGATTCCTGGCACACTCACACAATTCAAGTAAATAAAGCATGGCCCTTACATTATTGTAGCATACTGCTTGGGCTGATTCTGCTGTCCTGGGGTCTTTTATAGTTTTAAGCTGACAATGTTCACTAATCCATCACTTTTCTCTGCTACGTCTCTACAGTGGTACCTCGGGTTACAAACACCTTGGGTTACAAACACTTCGGGTTACAGACTCCGCTAACCTGGAAGTAGTACCTCGGGTTAAGAACTTTACCTCAGAATGAGAACAGAAATCGTGCGGCGGCAGTGGGAGCCACATTAGCTAAAGTGGTACCTCAGGTTAAGAACGGTTTCAGGTTAAGAACAGATGGAACAAATTAAGTTCATAACCAGAGGTACCACTGTATTGGTGTCAATTTTTCCGGAGTCTAGTATTTGCCCAACAGTATTCTAGCTGAAGTAAATTAGTTTGCAACCTAAGTTCTAAGTTCCATTCTTCTGTAGGATGTAAACAATTCAGTAATAGTCTGAAAGGAGACCACAGAATCTTATAGGCAGCAATACTCTTAATACAACCCACATACCCTTCCAGTATTTGGGGGCAACGGTACAGTCCCACCAACTTCTTTTAAAATATACGGTAACTGTATTTGTATGCTACTTGGGTGCTAAAAAGCTTTAAATAAATAACATTTCCCAAAGAAATAATAATTCAAAAGCAACAACAGAGAAGCAAACTCAGCTTAACCAACCCACAAAAAAAACAAAAAAACAACAAGAAATACATGGCCAAATCTCCCTGGGGACAGCATTTCACGATTCTAGTGCCACCTCTGGAAATTCCCTACTCTGATCACTAGAAGTTGTTTATTCCTGAAACAATGGCATATGGAGGAAGGCCTTGTCCTCCAATCTTAAAGTGCGGATGGTGAACCTACGACCCTCCAGATATTACTGCTCTGCAACTCCCATTATCCCTGATCGTTGGAAATTCTGGCTGAATCTGAGAGTTGGAGTTTAACAACATTTTAAGGGGCACAGGCTCCACAGGTTCCCTGTCTTAAATAATGGGGAGGACATTCATATATCAATATATTTGGGTTTTCAGCTGGTGATAAATGCACTGGAACTCTCTTGTGGTATCATATTATGATGTCATGCTCTATTTAACCACATATTAAAAAGAAGGCAAAAATGAAGAGATGAAGTGAATGGTGATAGAGGCATGAATTGTTTCATGTACTATCTTGTGCATTTTTCTCTCATTTTTAGACAAATGACCATGGAAACAGGTGAATCACAGCAAGATGGCAATGCAGCAGACTCTGTTGCAGAAAGTGATGCTGCTACTATACAGTCTCCATCTGGCCAAAATCAGATATCTACTATAGCACAGGTAATCTGACATGTAACCTGACACCAACACCTATATAATTAGCTACTGCAGGCAGGTAGAAGAATGCAAGACTTGCCTGCATACTTTGGGCTTTGGGGAAGCCGATAAAACGGTGGACCTCTCAGTTCAAAAGCCCACAGCTCAGTGGAAGGTCTTGTGCCACCTGCATCATTCAGCCTAGTCTGCATTGCAGAGTTCCTGTGAGGATAGAACGGGATACAGAGATAAATATCTGAGCAAAATGTAAAAAAATAGGTTTAGACCTTTCTAGTAGTTGGGTTTCTGATCATAAGCAATGCATGAACTATGTGTAAAATGATGGTGAAATCTCTACTTACATAGCCAGTTCTGTCCAGAACCCCTTAAGTACATGGACTCCATCTCTGGCTTAGGCTAGCAGGAGGTGGCTATTTCACCCATTCCAAGCCAGTGTTAGGAATATCTGTGCCATGAGGGGCTGCCTTGTTGGGAACGTGGCCACTGTCCTTTGTATGCAGTGAAGTTGCACCTTTTCGTCCTCAGGTGTTTTCTTTGGGGGCAAGGACTGAGAAAACAGACCATGGATTGATATTCAAGGAGATGAGACAGACTCTCCTTGCCTGCAATCTGCCTCTATGTTGTTTTCATCATGTTTCTGCTTTTTTTTCTGTCCAGGAGGACTTTTTATGAAAAAGCATTCGCTCTGGCAGCACAAACTCCACTTTAAGTCACTTGTATTATTTGTCTCTGATTTTTGGTGCTAGTATTGTATGAGTTGAGAGCCAGGAAGGCCCAATTTAAAATGTTATCTCAGCCATGGACTATATACTAGGTAGTCCAAATCAGCCAGTTTTGAGTTCAACCTCAAATCTGCCTTATGGGGATAATAATCCTAACCTATTTTACAGGGTTGTTGGAAGAATTGCTGCAATATATACACTACATACTCTGAACAATTAAAAAGTGCTATATAATGGTAAGGGTTGGATAATTTTGGTTAGTTGCGTTTAGGTTCCATTGAAATCTATCAAACCTAAGTTCAGCTAATTTAAGCCCCAGTCCAACAATTATAATACTATTTTATTTCTTTAAAGCATATAATGAAACCTTTGAGACTTTCCCCAGTTTTAAATAAACACCATAGAGGCTGGGTCTGACCTGGATTTAAATGCCTATATTGTACAATGGATTAAGTGTAGTTTTGGAAGTTAAGCATTAACAAGCCTGGAATACCGCACATATGAAGTAGAAGCTGCAGAATACCTATTTATCTGAAATAAATTGCCCCTGAAAGAGCTGACTGTGTGTGTGTGTTTCTGACCATTTCTGGAATGACTCTGTGCAGTGCTATAAAACTTTGTTTCCCAGTCTGCTAAATTGTTCTGCAGACTGTCTGCTTCCAGTAATATAGAGTCTTTGCACGTATTCAAATGCAAGTGCCATAGCTGGTTCCTCTCCTTATTGACGTCAGAATTGCTAGAACTGCTGCCACCTCCACATGAGTAATCAAGCAAACATTTGTGAATGTCAGAATAGGAAAGGGTGCAGTTTTAAAATATTGCAACTAAAGCAGAGGAGGAAACAAAGGCATCTTTCCAATAATTTAAACTTGTTCATTGTACTGTCAGTTTACCATTAGAGAAATAATTTTGTAAATCCAAAAAAATAAAAGGAGCACAGGATGCTTGGGAGATTCCTTGTAAACTTTCAAATATTATCCAGCCATTTTAAGAAATTGGAAAGTGCCTTTAGTACTTCTCATTGTGCATGTAAGTTACAAGAGAGAGGGCTTTTTCCTGTGATTCATGCTCAGTTCTTTATATGCTTGTCTTACATCCCAAAATGAATACACTGGGCACTTTTGGCACAAACTTTTTCAAATATTGTAATTTATCATTACAACATCATATAGAGCAAACCATTGAGCATAGTTTTCTTCCTATGCAGTTTCAGTATAAGCAGCTGCTTGGTGCAGTAATAGCCCCTGTACAGTATTTCCATGAATGAAATGTTGTACTAAGATGGGGAAGATTCACTTTCAAGTTGACATTAAATGATGGACTTGCTGACTCGCCTTTTGACAAGTTGCTAGTTCTTCTGTTCTTCATTTGTAAAATGGGTCTCAGAGCTTCTTTGTGTTCAATACACAATGTAGTGTTTAGACAAGAAAAAATTAAAAATGGTTTTTATCATTAACTTGCACAAATAGACTGTCTATTGCTATAAAAGGACTACAAAAATGATTACCCCTCTGTCCCCATCAAAGTTATACAATATGGGACTGCATTGTCATTTCAACCAAAAAAGGCTCTTTCAGTTTTCACTGGGGTGAAGTACCATGTGCCAGTGCTTTATGTGTTACATTTCTGAAGCAAGAAGCAGAAGTATGAACTATATTTCACCTGCTATTGGAAACCCAATTGTCATTGTAATATATTGACATCAGGCAGGTGCCTTCACTGTTCTCCCTTCAGTGCCTGCTAAAAACATTTTTGTTTAGGCAGGTCTACCCTGACATGTAGAATATTGATGTGTGTTTTAATCTGTTTTTGGCTTATTGCTGATTTTATTTCATTTAATATTTTAAATAGTTGCTTTTTAACAGGTTTTCCTGATAATTTTATTGTTTTATTCTCTAGGTAAACTTCTCTAAAGTCTTTTTTTTTTTTACAATTAAGCAATGTATAAATTTTATGAAATAACTAAAATGATATAAGCTGATATAACTTTTACTGTATTGGAAAACAGCACATCGTGTTTCAAAGGCTAAACCTTAATTTCACCCTGGAGACCTTTTGCCAAATCATCATCACTGGAATGCAGGTGCTCACACTGCTAATGTCTTCCTGTTATTTTTCACCAATGCAATAGGTTTCTGTAGCGGGATCAACAACTGGAAGAGGATCTCCCTCTGTAACTGTAGTGCAATTGCCTTCTGGTCAAACGGTCCACGTGCAGGGAGTGATTCAAGCAACTCAGCCTTCAGTTATTCAATCACCACAGTTGCAATCTGTTCAGGTTAGTTGCATCTCTCTTAACGTTACTGCAGGCTTTACTTAACCTTTACTTGACATCACTGACTTCTAATTTTTGCCCTAGCAATGGAGAGAAGAGCTTCATTGTATTTCATACCAAGGGTAGGCTGCCGGTTGACTCATATTCTGCCATCAGGAGAATAGAAAGATGATACTTCTGTCTGCTTCTTTAAAGAGTGATTACTTCAAACCAGAGCATGTAGGCTTATACCTTATACATACATAAAGATTGTCTCATTGTTATGCCCATGTGCTGCTGTTTTTCCCCCTATTTTTGTGTGTGGATAATCTAACAATATTGCAAGGTATGCAGTGGCCAGGAACTCTGCATGTCACTAATTGTGACATATATTCTAGGAAAAAATCATGCATAGATGTGATATTTAGTGTACAGTAGTTCCTTCAGCACTGGTGTTACCTTTGCTTGGTGTAGTTTCTGGACCAAATGTAAGGGCAGCCACAACAGAGCACATTTCAAAATTATCCAATTGTAAAGCACTCCCAGCAACCACAGTCACTTAAGCCTCCAGCGACAATGATGGATTGAGTACTCCTAGATACATTACATACCTGTTCTTGCATTTACCTTTTAAGCTCTCTGCCATTATGCTCTATGTTTTTCTCTCTCTCCAGCTGCATTCCTGCAAACTGTTCTGCTCCTAGGCCCCTTTTGTTCCTTTCTCCCACTCTTCTTATACTATTATTTGTAGATTATCCTCTCCTCTTCTGCCCGTCAAAGATATATATTTGCCATTTACTGAAAAAATGCACTTCTACCTGCAGAGCTCTTTCTAGTTTGTCATTAATTCACCTCAATGTTTCCTCCTTCCATATCAAGATTCTGCACATGCTGTTAGGGGCATTGCTAGGTATTTAAAATAATCAGGGTATAGGCTCATGAAACAAAATTTGCATATGCTAATATATAACTAGATAGAAGCAAGTATGGTACCCAACACTCCTGTTCTGCTAATGGAAGAGACATGCACTAGAGGATCAGAACTTTTCATTCCTCTACTCAGCAGTCTCCCCCTTTTCCAGCCTCAAAATAGGCACTGGAGAGCTGGGGGACACGCTGGAGGAAATTTGGAGATCACACTGGGGGAAAGAGAGGAGACAGATCTGGCACTGTGTTGGCAAAACACCTCTGGCACTGATTTGGATGCGACCCAATAATAATAGGTGATCGGGGATATGGCCAGCACAGTGATTTGAAGTATGTCCAGCAGCTCTGCAAGCAAGGTTTAAAAAAGTTGTTGTTGTTTTTAAAAAAATAGGGGTGGTGTAGGCAGGGAATCCAAGATCCAGTGCAAAACACCTGAGGCTTCAGCCCTCTGGGCCACCCCCTATCAATAGCCTTACCATTAGATACTGGTGCTGCTGTCTTTAATTTACAAAGCATTCCTAAATTTTCAAAGCAGTTTTATGACAGTCCTGTGAGATGGATCACTGGCAGTAAAATCTCCTCTGCAAATCTGGATTCCATGCTGCAAGTTAACTCTTCTGAGTCGACTCCTAAGATGGTTAATTTTTTAATGTTCATATTTTAGGTAGCATCAGCTACAAGTGCAGATGAATCTACAGAGTCAGAGGTTGTCATTGATTCTCAGAAACGGAGGGAGATACTTTCAAGGAGGCCTTCATATCGGTAAGCTATAATTTCGTGTTGTAACAATTGGTGCCTTTCGGTTAAAATGAGTCACCCATTTCATTGGCCAGCTGCTTTTAAATGTATATGTGTTTTTACTTGTGTCAGAAAAATTCTGAATGAACTTTCTTCTGATGCACCCGGTGTCACTAAGATTGAAGAAGGAAAGCCAGAGGAAGAAGGAGCGCCCTCTGGCATCCCTGCCATGGCAGTGCCAACGAGCCTTTATCAGACTAGCACCGGGCAGTACAGTATGTATCCCATAACATCAAACAAGATATTTAGCTTTCGTTCTTAAAACTAAAATGTAAATTGCAAACTTAGTAAGCTAGATCTATTGTGGAGAGTGGGGGGAATATTCAAGGAAAAGTCTCAATTAAAACCCAAGTGAAATTCAAGTTTACATCAATAAAGATCTCTTATAATTTACAGTAATGATCTGATAAGAAAAAATTAAATTTTGCTCACTTTGTTCCATTCTGTTTCTTCAAATCTTATGCTCCTTAATGTGTGTTGCTTTCAATTGATGTATTTCATTATATAACTGGAAGCTAGGATACACAAGGAAGTTTGTACAATTTTTCTCAATAAATACAGTCCTTAAGATAAAAAGAAATGCAACTTGCAATCTTTTTTATGAGTTTAGAATTAGACATCAGTGCACTGGGAACTAATCCTGCACTAAGCATCCTTGACTTAAAGGAGGAAACACTCCAAATCCTAATAATTGTACAAAAGTTGTTCCCACTAGATTGTGCCCTTTGGGGATTTTGTGTAGAATCTAGTTTTTACTGTTCTGCTTTGGAGTGCAGAGTCCAACAACTTGGCATTGACTGGAAAATGCAGTAGAGAGTTGTACATGGTGACAGATAAAACTTCAATAAGCATATTTTCCATGTAAAGTATGAGCAGAGTTGAAATATCTGTGATGGAGAACTTATTTAAAAGGTTGTTTGAGAATGGAACATTTAACTTTGCATCGCGTTGTTCCTGTTCTGACACCTAAAATCTATACCCTATAATCTAGCATTTTGTTATGAAAACTGTAACAGGTCGTGTAAGGAAAAATTAACAGCTTATTCTTATTCTTTTCTCTCTTTAAAATTCAAATATAATTTATGCAGCTGTTTTGTACTGTCTTCTGTTGTACAAGATTTCACTGATAAAAGTTGTCTTTGCACGGCAAAGCATCCCTTGAGGCAATACAAAGTTGACTTAGATCAGGCTTGGGGAATGTGTTACTAGATTTTTAGTTCCCATAATTCCTGACCATTCACCATGCTGGCTTGGGCAGAAAAGTGTTGGAGTCCAAATATATCTGAAGAGCTACAAGCGACCCTTTCCTGAGTTAGACTGTATCCAAATTACAAAAGTGGTAGTACACACTGGATCAGTGTTTCCTAAACCTCTGATAGCTGAGTCACCCTTATTTTCTTCTAAATCAACACAGGAGGCGTACTACACGCACACTCTCTCTCTCTATATATATGAGAAAATAGCATAACCAGGATTAGAGAATTGCAGAGGTGAAATGGGAGGCCTTTTCTGAGGACAGGTGATTCTGTTCTCTGTCTGTATCAGGTGAAATCACTTGCTCCGGATGCAAAGACTCAGCAGTGTTGCCTAAATTTGTAGAAGAAGACTGACTGGAAAGCAGTGGTTGCAGAGCCTCAAAAGAGCTCTTCATCATTGATTTCTTATGGCACACTACTAGTTCTTTTAAGGTGCACTAATGTGTCCCAACACACAGTTTAGGAATGGCTGGATTAGAGCTGTTCCAAAGACTCTTGTTTCCGTTGGTTAATACCATTATTGCTTTTGTTAAGTTGCTATAGCCCAAGGTGGAGCAATCCAGATCTCTAACCAGGCATCTGACGGCGTTCAGGGGTTGCAGACATTAACAATGACAAATTCAGGAGCTCCTCAGCCCGGTGCTACAATTGTACAATACGCAGCCCAAACAGCTGATGGCACACAACAGTTCTTTGTACCTGGGAGTCAAGTTGTTGTCCAAGGTATGCTTTCATTTTATATTTGCTTTTAAATGGCATTTGTATGTCTCTATTTGTTTTGAACTCTTAATAGATTTTTCAACAGAAAAGTGGGCTATAAGTAGCCAGCAAATAACAAACAAAAACAGGAAAAGACCCTCTTCCCTTAACAGAATACAACTACAAAATGACAGAGTTAAGGTAAAATACTTAATGATGAGCTTACAAACATGAAAATAAAGTTTAACAGTCGATATGGTAAAATATGCACTTTAGGCAAATATATGTGTTTCGTGGCCAATTCATCTAAGGAGCAGAGCATGGTTTGATAAACTTTAATCATTGCTAGAAAAAAAATGAAGCAGTGTACTTACATAGCACGGATTCTTGGATAAATTCATGATGCAGTAACTTACCGGTAGTCTGAAATGTTGAGGTGGGTGCAATGTATTTCTGTATATAATTTGATCAGTGTTGACCTTTTCACTGTGTGAGTGGTTCCTGCATTGGAAAAGCTTATTTTTGTTCCTTTTTGATGTATATCTTTACTAGGACACCAGGGTTGTTTCTGTGGTCTTTTGGATGCTATGCCAGGGAGTGACTTGTTCCGGTGTAGTGGTTAAGAGCGGTAATCTCGTAATCTGGGGAACTGGGTTCGCGTCTCTGCTCCTCCACATGCAGCTGCTGGGTGACCTTGGGCCAGTCACACTTCTTTGAAGTCTCTCAGCCCCACTCACCTCACAGAGTGTTTGTTGTAGGGGAGGAAGGGAAAGGAGAATGTTAGCCGCTTTGAGACTCCTTAAAGGGAGTGAAAGGCGGGATATCAAATCCAAACTCTTCTTTATCATCCTCTTCTTGCTTTGAAAAAGTCTCTTGCACTTTACTTTCTGCCTTTCCTCTAATGGACATGAAAGAAGGGTTTGTTTTAATGTAGATGGTAGAACAGTTGGTAACTTCAACTCAAGTACCACATTTAAAAGTCAAGAGTCTGCGAAATGCAAGCTCTCTTTAGAGGTTGGCAAACTTGCATATAACTTAATGCACTGTGGAGAAGTAGGTTCTTATGCCTCCTTGCCTTGGATGTAATGTCTAGAGATGAAGCACGTAATACACAGAAGTCTGATAATCTGTGATCTTTACCAGGCGAAATGAGAGGAGAGATTTGCAAGTTGTTGTTGTTTCAATTTTGTTACAAGCAAATAGTATATAAATTTTGTTAATAAATAAAATAGCCGCAAATGTTTTAGGCATGTACTCTGCAGCTACACATTGTGCCCTGCTTATGGTGACAAGGGCACATTCTGTCATGCTATACTACTGTGTGTTGCTTATGTACACTGGATGATGCGTGAATAGGAATTAGATTAAATGTTTCTTAGTCTTAGAGCTATCGATAAACTGCAAGATGATCCTAAGATGCTAGTGTGAAGCCACAAAGAAGCAGAGTCAAGAGTATTTTATTATTAAGTAATTAAATCTCTATACCGCCTTTCATCTGAGGCTCACAGGGTGGTTTACAATATAAACATGGAAAAAATACATAACACAATAACAAACAAAAACACCCCCCGCCCCAGCTTAAAATGCCATAGATTGTTTAATTAGCCAAAGGCCTGGGATAAGAGGAATGTTCTTGTCTGGTGCCTAAAGATATATAACGAAGGTGCCAGGTAAAAGTTGTGTTCAAAAGTGGTAATCTCATTTAATTCTAATCTCATTTAGTTACCAGTTTCCCCAAAGGAAATGGCTCGGACTACAGCTACCTCAATTGATATGTCACAATAAACCAGTGTTGCTGGGTTATTATGGTTTGCTAGGAAAGGGAAGTGTGCTGTTGAACACTGTCAAATTACACCCACTTCTCTCCTTCCCTGATGTGAGCAGGATAAACAAACCAGGAAGCCAACAATTATGACTGACTTCCTGTAACATCCAAACCCAGGATTGTGGCTTGCTCCCCAACCAGCCAGTACTCCTAAACCAACAGTTTTAGTCTGGTTAGCAATACTGGCTTGGTAGGAAGGAAGAAACAATGATCTGAGGTCTAGACCTCATGGAAAGCTGAGCTTAATTATGACGTCCTGGTTTGTTTATCCCACCAGGAGAGGAGGAGTGAAGTAGGAACCATCAGACAATAAATCATATTTGCAATAAACCATAAGAAGCAGCCACTTTGTGAACACTGCCTGGAAAGCTGCTACAATAATGAAAAGAGATTGCTAACTTCTCTTGTGCACAGAGTAAACCAGGCCTGTTGAGCAAAATAGGAAGGAGGTTGAGAGAGAGGATATGAGGGTGAAATATACTCGGAGTCGAGAGTGGATTTCATGCTCTTTATTCAGCTCATAGTGGTGAGGAGGAATGGAAGTTCCCCCAAAATATCTGCTTTATATACATTATTTACACAATGGGCTGCACATGATTGGCTAATTCCGGGATTTTCCTGTAGGCCAATCAGGTTGTGGATTCACTTCCACCTGGGTGGCTCCTGCGGACCAAACATACTGCTGCATTGTTCTAGGACCAATCAGACTGCTGCATTCCGAATCTTATTGTTCTAGGACCAATCAGACTGCTGCATTTTGGATCCTATTCAACTCAGTACGTAACAGAGGGTTTCTGAAAATACACCTGGGTGGACATTTACACAACAAAGCAAATGCACTTCTTACATTAACTTCAGCACTAGAGTACTTTCCTTTTGCACTCTTGTGTTGCCTCTTCACTGACGTGGAAACTAAGCCAGGGGTGGACAGACTTCAGGCTCAATGGAACTAATTTGATTTTTACTATAACCTCCAGATCTACCACCTAGAGCCAGATCAGAATGATGGCACAGGGAGACTTCTGCACACTTAGAATTGCTGCTCAGCCAATGCATTTGTTCTCACTGATGTTGGAGTGCTTTCTCACACAAATCCATTCCCGCTTTCCCCACAAGCTTTCTTCATTTCAGCAAGCTAATTGTGTGTGAGAGAGCCTTCTAGTTGTTGCTAGTGCTAAACCTCTGGGAGTCTAAAGCTCCTGCTGATCCACTGAAAATCACCCAGAGATTTACCTGTAGATCCCAATCTATCTTCTGCCCACCCTGAACTAAAGCACTTCTGTTCCTTTGTCACTGCTTCTATTCCATGCTGAGGACCAAAATGTGCATGGCTTTTTATAGCAACAACCATATACATTTGGTGACTCCTGTGATTGCACTCCGTTGTCATCACACCAGAGGCTGAATGGAACTCTGGTTCCAAAAACTGCATATGAGAGCCTCTTAGTCCAAGTAGTTTATATACAAGTGGTTATTGCCCCATAACATTCTGCAATGGAGTCCCTATAATAGTTGTTGGCCTTGATGCTGGAAAGAGTCTATGTACAGAAATGGTAGGGGCTCACTACATGGCTGTTGGAGACAAGAAGAAATTCCTATCAGCCACAAGATCTGCAGGAAGCTATTTATGAGAGGTTAGTGTGAACTGATGGGTTTGGGGGAAATCAACACCATCTTTTTTGTCTCTTAGTAGTTACCAAGAGCTGTGCAATTTTTATCAAGTGCAAGTATGCCAAGGGATAATTGCCGAGGGCAACATGCCTTGAAAGGCAGGGTAGCAATGCATGAAAAGTAGATAAATAACAATGGGAAAGTTATTCAGGTGGGTTTATATTCTTGCTTACTTAGAAGTGAGGATAAAGGTAAGAACATACTGCCCCGAGGGTCAGAGGTACTGTGCCTCTGAGTGTCTGTTGCAGGGAAACAGCAGTCCACAGAGGATATTGCCTTTATGTCTTGATTGTGGGATATCTGGTTAGTCAGTGTGAGGAACGGGATGCTGAACTTGACGACCTTTGCTCTGTTACCTGGTTTTGCAGAGCTGAAAGGAGGCACACTCTAGCCTCTGACACCAGCCAGGTGACTTAGGACCAACTGGGAGGCTGCTTCCCCTGCCTCCCAGGTAGAAAATTAGGACAAAAAGGAGACCAACCTGACTTTTTCCACTAGCTAGTGAAGAAGCAGCTGTCCCTATGCTTCCTTTCCTCTTCCCTCCCCTTTCCTTTTCCCTTTTGTATCATGTTTATTAGACTCTGAGCAGGGGCTGTTTCATCTTTTAATATATGTATAGTGCTTGGAGAAATGTACCGGTAGGTGTTTTAGTAAATGTTAAGTCGTCGTCATCATGAAGCAGGAGGGCTCCTCTTATGGTGTCTTGACTGTCTAGTATGCCACAAAAGTCAACAGGGGAAGAAACAGTTCTACCCAGGCTTGCCAACTTTTAATTCATACAGATACTGAATTGCATTATTGTTTAAAGTACAGTTTTATTTTGAAAAGCGTTGGCAGCGAAATAACATCTGCCCTTGCTGCAGATGCGTCTGTGGAGGCTGATTTATAGCCGGCTCCCTGGATCTGTGCCTACCTTTGTATTGTGGGGAGAGCGAAGCTAGGCTATGTAAAAAGTCTGAAGTGATTGTTTGTTAGCAAAGGTTTTCCCTGGGCTCCTGTTTCAACGAGCTGTTCCAGTGAGAAAGCACATTAATGACGGGGTAGGCTAGTGAGGTCATTATGATGTCAGTGCTGGAGCTTGTAATCCTGCACATGCTTGCTTGTTTGGAACATTTCATGTTCTGCTGGTGGCAGAGGAGAAGCCTTTGAGCAGACGCTGGCTATGGCTGTAACCAGAGACGAAACCGGTAGGCAATTCTGTAAGCTTATTTTTCGAAAGGGGAAATTGGGGCTGCTCACAGCTGGACTGCTGAAATCTCATAGAATCTGTGGGATTTAGGCAGCCAGATTGCAAGCAGGGGGAATTGTTTGCTAGAACACCCAGCAACAACGTTGCTGGACTAGAGCACTTAGTTACCAAGCACATTTTTTTTATATAGACTCCTGGAAGCTGTCATTAACATTTCTTTAGCTGATGCAGCATTTTAGTTAGTTAGACTGATGGGTGCTCTTTCAGTTTTTGTGCTATTTTTCCTTGCTCACATGAGCTTTGAAGCAATCCTTTTATTTAAGAAGTGAGAACAAGGAACTTGTCTCCCTTGGTGCTTTTTTAGAATGATTTAACAGCTTGGAAGTATATGAAAGATTGCTTCTTCAGCTTCCGGCAGCCAGCGTGTAGTTGTGTGGACTGTGCTCACTTCAGCCATGTAATCGGTCTTCCATCTTTGACAGGTAATAAAGAGCAGAAATGAAATCTGAGTGGCCCGCGTGGGTGCTCCAGCAATGCTTTGGGCTTGATGATTTAGTTATTTTGCGCCTCCTCCACTCGAAAAACTGCCTGTTCCACAGCAGAGTTCAGCAGGCTGACGTCAGATAGATTTCCTGGAATCGCATTTCAGCGGGGCTGGAAAAGTTAAACTCCACAAACAACAAACACATTGACGTCAGCTGCGAGTCATGCTGTGATTTAGTCAGTTCCTTTCTGCTTCAACCAGTGCTGCCGCCGCTGCTGGCATGTTTGTTACAGCGTTAATTCAGTAGCCTGCATGCTGTCTCTGGAGCTAAGTAAGCCTGGCTTGTGTGTCTTTTGTTTGTTTGCTGATCCAACGGGATATTTTCTTTAAATAATAGTAATAAAAGACCTCAGGCTCACACGAGCAAAAGGACCAGGAGCAGTGCAGCAGACTTGAGTGAAGTTTAGAATCCTTGTGGTAAAGGTTGCTAGCCGTGTGTGGAGGGGAATGTGGGTGAAACTCAGATTTCTGTTATATGTAGCATGCCTGGTTCTGCTTGCCAGCACTGAATGGCAGTTTTTAAAATATATATATATATTTGTGGTGGGAATCAGGAGTGGACTGATCATTCCTTGCAGGTACAGTTTTTGTACCATAGGATATTTGGTTATTTTATGAATTATGGTTTAGTTACTGAATGAAACCTGGATTCACCCCCCTTCCCTATTTCAATTTATATAGCCAAAAAAAAAAAAACAGTAACAGCTATAAACATTGCAGATAGCTATATTGATACCTTGGGGGGGGGGGCAAAATCCAGAAGACACAGTTGAGTAAAAAAAGAGAATTAGGGCCAAGTAAAATGTCTCAGAGTAATGGAGAAGCTTTGGAGTTCTCAATATTTTTCCTGGATGTTAAAATTACAAAAAGGGGTGTGTATGGGGGAGCAGGGGGGGGAATAGCAAGTTTGGCATAATGGACAAAACCAGAGTTCTCCAGTTTGTTTCAGTCTTGAGGTGGAGTTCTGTAAGCAAAGCTTGATTAAATGACTCCATGCAATGTACAAAATAGGTTCCAGGTTGCAATAAGGGTAAAGGGGAACAATGACACAATGGCTGTTGTGCTTTTCTCAAACTGAAACTTGGCAAAAGTTGAACAGTGTATACATTTTTGGGAATTTTTTTTTATTTCATAAAATGTATACACTGCTTGATTGGAAAAAAAACAACACCCTCAAAGCAGCTCACATAAAACCAGAATAGCATCTGTTTACTTCTGCATTTTTGTGTGCTGTTTTAAAGCCACTTTTATCACGCAGGAATTTAAAATGTTGATGGTCAGCAGTGTCAAAACTTCATAATATGGTGGGGGGTGGGACCCCCCCCAGAAATGGAAGTAGGAGCAAAAAAACAATAGGGTGAATGAGATCCCTGCTCCCCAAAATGCTTTTCTTATGACCATAGGAAGAGATAGCACCATAGCTGTCAACGTTTCCCTTTTTTTAAGGGAAATTCCCTTATTCCAAATAGGATTCCTCACAAGAAAAGGGAAAAGTTGACAGCTTTGGACAGCACATCTAAATGTTCAGTCTTTATGTCCCTGAACTTCCCTGAAGAAGGACTAGCAGGGTAAGACATTCATTGGAATATTATCTCTTTTATCTATCCTACTGCTTTCTGCTCCTACTTCCCCATATTTTACAAAGAACAATATTGGACATTGCTTGGTAGTGGTCACCATGACAACAGATTCAATAGATAATAATTGCAGAATTTATCTGGCTGCATTGACATTTGTTCTGTTAAAGGACAGAGGACGAAAATGTACTTTTTGATATTTACTTGCATTTAGCTATTAACTACGTTTAGCAAAAGTGAGGTAGAGCCCAAGAAAAATCTGCCACTTTGGCAGCCCATCCCACTTTCTGTGATCATTGGCTTTGAGAGATCAAGAGAGCATCCATCTGTCTGGACAGACCTAGGCAGACCTGAGGCTCTTGCTTCCTACATGTGAGGTGATGAAGGCCCTGTTAAAATTCTGTTTAAAAATCCCTGTGTTTTCTGGAGTTACTGATTGCTGGTACCTCTCAAAATAGGCCTGCAAAATATGTGATCCACCAGGCTGAAAATGGCCTCCTACAGCTATATATAGTGGCCTGCCAGGGCTTGAGGAACTTGGTTGCCCATTAATTAGCTAACTTAGTTGGTAGAGCATGAGACTCTTAATCTTAGGGTGGTGGGTTCGAGACCCATGTTGAACAAAATCTTTCTTCAGTTGCAGGGAGTTGAACTAGATAACACTTGTGGTCCCTTCCAACTCTACAATTCTATGATTCTATGGTTTCTCTTGTGTTTGTTTTTATTTATTTATATTTATAGAAATATTTATATACCACTATTCATAAAAAAATACCAGAGTGGTTTACAGCAATTTTTGCTATTGCTTATAAATTAAGTCACATCTATAGTGTGTTGAGCCCTATGTAGAGTATAGTATAAAGTCCCAACACTTTGTCACAGAGATGGAGAAATGTCTCGTAGCTGCTAAGGAGAGGGCTTTTTCAATACAGTCATACCTCGAATATGCTTCATGTTGAGCACGTTCGAGTTGTGCTCTGCGGCAACTGAGCGCGTTACTTCTGGGTTTTGTCGCTCACGCATGCACAGACGCTCAAAATGACGTCATACGCATGCGCAGAAGCGGTGAAAAGCGATGTGCGCGTGCCGTCGCTAGTTATGTTTGCTTCTGGATGCAAACGGGGCTCCAGAACAGATCCTGTTCGTATCCAGAGGTACCACTGTAGTGGCTTCCCAGCTGTACGATGCCTTCTTCAGAAAAGCTCACCTCACATCTACATTGTGGTATTGTCCATCCCACCTTTTTATTTTCCTGGGCATCTTAGTTTTTTGATTGTTTTTGTTTTATAAGAAAACATGTTTGTAGTGCTTTTTAGACCTTTGAACATTTCTGTGTTGCTGGTTTTCTCTACAGTAAACAATGCACTTTTTGTTCTGTTTGCACTTGAATAGATGGAGAACGTTCTCGTCTGGATCTTATTTAATTCATCTATTTGAATATTTTTAGGCTGCCCATCATCCACAGATCTCAGGGTGGATTGTATAACTTTAAAATAACACAACCACCACATCCATATTAAGTACATAAAGATCAGGTAGAAATACCATGTTAAAACTACCAAAATGAACTTCAGCAGCAGACTAATATCCCCAAGCTGCTTGGGCAAAAAAGCAGATCTTAGCCAGGTGCTGAAATGTCAAAACTTTTGGTGCCTGGGGAAAGGCATTCCGTAACTGGGGCGCCAACACTGAGAAGGCCCTATCTGTGACACCGCAGTGGTGGGACAATGGGAGAACCTCCTCAAATCTAAGGAACTGGTCACAGAATGTGAATTAAGTTCTTCCTGGTATTCGAAACCAACATGCTAACCAACGTTTTAGATCATGGAGCTGTGTGACATTTCTTTTGTGTCATTTTCTTCTTTTGTTGCAGCTGCTACAGGTGACATGCCAACTTACCAGATCCGAACTCCAACCACAGCCTTACCTCAAGGGGTAGTCATGGCAGCATCCCCAGGAACGTTGCATAGCCCACAGCAGCTCGCAGAAGAAGCAACGCGTAAAAGAGAGCTAAGGCTCATGAAAAATAGGTATTGCTATTTCAAGAAAAAGCAATGAGTTGAATTTACTTTCAAGAGATGATGACAGGAAAGATCGGGGTGGTAAATCAGTATAGTTGCTAAGGAACATTTTCCCAAAGATAAAATTGGCCAGTGGGTTTCCCCACGTAATTTACTGGGGAGAAGAGGGCAGTGCCTTCTCTCTTGACTCCTGATGACCTTTGCCCTGGCACTTAAAGTGCCGTTGAATACTATACAGTTGCATTACTGAATCTTTGTGGCCTTTAAAGCAGGATTCCTCAATCTGGTGCCTCCCCAGATGTTTGGCCTACAACTCCCATCAGCTCTAGCAAGCATGGCCACGCTGGCTGGGGACTGTGAGAGTTGTAGTCCAATAAATTTGGAGGACCCCAAGTTCAAAAAAGCTGCTTTAGAACAACTGTTCTCCAAAGGCCGAACAGCCAAACTTCCACCACTTCATGTGATAGCGGATTTGAAACAGGCTGTGGCTGTTTGGGACAAGAGTCAGCCTAGTCTCTGCAGGTTTCTAAGTTCACCAACCTGCCAACTATCCAAATAGAAAAGAAACACGATTTCTTCACTTGCTATGGGGATATAAATGGCAACAAACCTCCTGAAGTTCCTTATGAGATCATGGAAAACTTAGATTACCTTTGCTTTATAGTTCCTGAGGGGGAGATAGGAGGTTAAAGTGAGGTTAGGTTATTGAATTTATGCATTGCTCCCCGCTGAAGAAGTCCAAGTAAAATATAAAATAACAGAATTGTATGAACACGGGGAGAGCATTCCATAAACAAGGGGCTACAACAGAGAAGGCCCGTTCTGTCTTTGTCACCCTCTGGACCTCCCTCGGAGGTGGCACACACTGGTGGCTTTTGGCAATGCATATTATTGGGTGTTTTGTAGAGTTCTCCCCCTTAAGATCTATAGCTTATGAAATGCTATATTCAGTATTTTCATATATTATACAATTATATATGGTGTAGATGTGGTGAGAGGTTATATTTATGCATTTCTCTTATTGCCAGTGTTTGGGATGTGAATTTGAGGCAGGCAATTTCAATGTAGCATCTGCTTCTATAAAGGAAGGGTGGAAGTGTTTTGCTTAATTTGTTAACTTCCCAACAACTGATTTCGTGTCTGTTACAGCAAAACAAATTTGCTGTAATTTGCAATTTGGATGTCTCCCCTCCTCCCTTTTGTGGTGGTGGTCAGCTTATTTGTGCTATTTGTGTGTCTTGTTTTTGGTGTCAGTGCATCACCTCTGATATTAACGTCTGCTGTTGGCATGTGCTTTGTAGGAAAAAGTCGTCTCAGTTGTAACTAACCCTGCCATTGCTCACTGCATCCATGGTATTGCTTTTTCTCATGCCCTTTGTCTTAAATTGCTCATCCATAAAAATTCATGCCTTAGATTCCAGATGTTTGTGCTCTCTTTTTCTCTTTCATTCTCTTACCAGGTTTAGCCTTGTGTCTGCCATCAGTAACACATGTGCAACACGCACCAGTTTTTCTTAAGGTGTACTTTCTTTCTGTATAAATAAATAAATATGGTAGCTAGTAGGATCCCAGCTTGAGTGTGCAGATGTTTCTAGGGGGAAATCTTGCCCACCCCCTCGTGCAAGCAGAAGTGCCTTTTGTTTGTGAACCCTACAAAAAAGAGGGTGGATCCCACCCCATAAAATCTCCCTAGCTTTTAGGTGAGTTAACAGAAACTGAGGCGCTGATGGCATGGCTGAAAGCTTCACACTGTTGCTTGTTTGGGCTTATTTACAATATTTATATACTGCTTTTCAACAACAACAAAAATGTTCTCAGAGCTGTTCACATAGGTGACTTTCAAACATGCTTCAGTTAAGCTGTTTTGAGTTTCAGAGGAGGAGAGAAGACGCTTCAGATTGTTAACCGAGTTCCCAAAATAGTATGAAAAAATGTGCCCATAACAGCAAATCCAAGATAGAAGGTTCCCATATTTACCTAAAGAAGAGCTGGATCTTATTGTATACACCATCGATGGAAGGGATGGACTTTCCCTTCCTTTGTAAAGAGCACAACACATTTGTTTAAATGCTGTTCCTGTCATTTAGCCATAGCTGGTATAGTAAAGTGGCTTATAATTGGAACTGTAGCTAGTACACCTCCAGTTGGTCTGCTCAGCCATGAACTTACTAGGGAGTCAGGCAAGCCATGCTTTTTCAGTACAGTGAGTTGCGGGTAGAGCTAAGATGCAGCATATCACACAGTGCTTTGGACACTTAAGAGATAAGCTATAATAGTTATTTTAAAACTTAAAATCCATAGTGCAAACCCATTCAGGTTCCTTTTAATGCCTTTATAACTGATTTGACCTTTTGCCCAAAACAGGATTTTGAGGGTCAAAATTTCAGTCTGGTATCTAGACTTCAGTCTGAAGAGAAAGCATGACATTGATCTTTGCAGACAGTTTAGTTGATAACATTTTGGCAGACGTAGGCTTTGATGCTTCCCCCTGTTTATGCATGCGAATATGGCGAATTATGGAAACAGATGAGGTGGGATGTTTGTCAGTCCTGTGCTTTTTGTTCTAATGTGAGTTTTGATGTAGCGAGCGGTGCTTTGTTAACATCTGAATAGAACGCTGTCCATCCATCTGTGTTGCAATTTTCTCACTCTGAATATGCCACGTTGACGCTGTTCCTGTGTTTACTATCAAGCTTCTCCCGCTGCTCTGCATTGTCTGTAGAATTGGTGGTGTGACTGTTGTACAGTTTACCAATTTGGCACTTGCTGATTTCAGCTTTTCTGGTGCTGGAGGTTCTTTTTTTTTTATCCAGGTTGTCATTGTGCTGTGCCTTTTCCTATAGTCATTTGCCTTGTGTTGGTTCCAGGGAAGCTGCTCGTGAGTGTCGCAGGAAGAAGAAGGAGTATGTCAAATGTCTTGAAAATCGCGTGGCTGTGCTTGAGAACCAAAACAAGACTCTCATTGAGGAACTCAAGGCCCTCAAAGATCTTTATTGCCATAAAACAGAGTAACTGGCAATGGGCAATGGACCTTTTTTTATTTTATTTTTTGCTAAAAATGCTAATCAAGGCATGAGATGAAGCAATTCTACAGATTGCCATGTGGCCCTTGAGGAAGGGACAGTGTGTTGCCCTTGCAATCCCAGTTGTCCTTAGGTGTTTTTGAAGAGTTGTTCTAAATTTTGGAAAGCATAATGGTGTCCATATTATATTGACCATCATCACTGCGTTTCCCTGCCCCCTCCCTGCTCCCGCCACTCCAGTAGCATGCCAAAAAGCGTTTTTGTTTGCCCTTTTTACTTCTGCTTTTTTCAGGGAGGCTGCAAAAGAATGTCGACGGCGGAAGAAAGAATATGTGAAATGTCTGGAGAGTCGTGTTGCGATGTTAGAAGTTCAAAACAAGAAACTTATAGAAGAGCTAGAAACCTTAAAAGACATTTGCTCTTCCAAGACAGACTAGTATCAATATTGAAACTGTGAACTGGCTACAGCATGTACAGATGCTTCTGCAGGCAATGTCTAGTCAACAAGAATTATGACTTTTCCTTTGTATCATTTGTCTTCTACTCCAGCCTCTAACATTCCTGAAACGCTGCATTTTTGTAGATTCTTAATTGAAACTTCAGGTGTCTTTCTGATCCAGAAAGAGTCAAATGGTTAAGGCAGTGTCTGTTCCATCTTTTCAAAATGCAACATGTGTAAGAGCTGTTCCTCTGCCCTATCTTTGCATTAATTACTTTAAATGTATAATTTTGGTTGTTCCCACTTGCACCAGTATTTTAAAGTGATCAAAGATAATGCATCCAACACAATAAAATGAAAACCACCCTAAGTATCTCAGGAAAGAGTTATATATATAAATATATATATAAAGGTATGTTGTAATGACATACATGTATTAGAATACTAGTTTACAAATGAATTTATGGCATATTTTTATATTCATCACTTTGTGAAGAAAGTATTGTATTGCTGTCACTGAGTGCCATGGTTGAAACTAGTTTTTAAATAGAACCATGTTGGTTAAACTTTGTAGTGTTTGGTGTTTATTTGAACATCTGGCCCAGCTAAGAAATTTTAAAATTTATGCTGCACATTATGAAGTAATTTTAGCAGACATATATTTACGGTGTGTCTTATATTTCATAAGCCACCACCAGAATTGTAATGCAGGGATTTAAAATCTGCTCATGCTCGCACCCACTGTTTGCACAAAGGCTACTTGTAAATAATACTGGCGCTGGTATTTTTAAAGGTCTGTGTCATACCAATGATTCCCTTGTCATCATCTTCCAGGCTAAGCAATCTTGTTTAAAGGGTATTTCACACAACGTGCACAACCATGGTTAGTCAGCTCTACTCAGTGGCTGTTGCCTGTCAAAATCTTATTAAATACCCCAAGTAGGAGGTGATTTTTACTGTTTGAAATGTGCTGTGGATGTAAACCACATTTGCTGAAGGTGATTTATTTCTTGTCCATCTAATCAATAGAAGTGCAAAGTGTTTCTCTCCACCGCCATCCTCCGTGCTATATTCATTTGGCTATATTGCTTTGCAGTTGTGTGACGCCAGTCTCTCTTATGTTTCCTCCTGGCCTACATTCCCACCCCTGCTTAGCTGAAGCAGTGTTTCCTGCTGATCTGGAGCTCTGAAAAGAGAAAGCACGTAGGGACATCCAGCAACTCTTCAGGAACTGTGTACACACCACACATTTAAAGCACATTTCCTCCCCACCCCCCAAAACAGAATCTTGAGAACTGTGACTTGTTGAGGGTGCTGGGGAATGTAATTCTATGAAGGGTAAACTACAGTTTATCAAGATATGCTTTAAACATGAGATGTGTATGCAGCCACAATTGCTGTCACAAACAGGAGCTAGGGGGGATTTCCTTTTGTGTGAATATACCCGTGCTTCCTTTCCCTGTGATAGCATCCTTGGGCCTTTTTTAATGCCCGCAGTTAAACCGGATAGAGTAAAATCACAAAAGACTTTGCAAACAAATATTTTGAAAAAGAATGCTAGAACAGATTCATTCCAAGCACCTTCTTAGATGATGAACTGTGGATATGTGCTGTAATTAAAATGAATTGCAGTTTATTCTTCTGTTTTTAAAAAATGAAATAAAAGCAGTAAACGACGAGTACCAATTCTACCGATTTGATGATGGATCTGCTAGAAGAAATTCCTCTAGTTGGCTGCCATTTGCTTTTCAGAAGACAGTGGAAAATAAATATCTGGAGCACTTCTCAAATCTTCAGCTCATCGCATTTGGCAAAAAAAGACCAGTGTTTCAGTTCTTTTAAAGCATATGTGAAGTGCAATAAATATGTCACGGTGAGGTAGGTGCTTGTTGCTTCCACTTTACAAATGGTAAACTTGAAGCTGAGAAATTGCAGTGTGTCCAGGCCTGGTCAATGGAAACTTGCAAGGAGACCCTGGAACTCCTGTCTTTTGCAAACAGGTTACTACAGGCTGCGCCAAAGCAGAAGGAGTTGATAAATGTTTTATGTGCCATAGAATCCCAGAACTGTAGAACTGGAAGGGACCCTGAGGGTCCAATCTAGTCCGATCCCCTGCAATGTAGGAAAATGCAATTTCCCCATATGGGATTGAACCTGCAACCTTGGCATTATCAGCACCATGCTCTAACCAACGGCGCTATCCTTGGAGTTAACTGGCCAGCAGCAAATTGTTGGTACATGTAGTTGTTCTAGAGGTTTATTGGAAGGAATGCCTTATCATTTCAAGTTCACAGCTCTAGCCAGACAAAACAACAGGCAAGGGATGTGGCAGTTAACCTTCAATAAAATAAAGCACACAATGTTTTTAGAGAAGAACAAAATACTTGCTTAGAAATAGGGTACTAAAGGTCTAATGAGTACGTAATTCTTGCAAAAGCTTATAGAATTGGTCAGTAGCTTTTGTTATAGTCTCAGTGAGATTGATAAAGATATTCATAGTAAATAATAAAGGATTTTGTCTGTTTCCACACTATTTTTACCTACAGTTTTACTAACAGGTGCTCCTAGAGTTCAGACGTCTTACATTTTAGTAAAAGCACACGCAAGGAGGATTCCAGTTCTCCATTTTTATAGAAATGTTTGTCCCCATATGTGCTCTGTTCTTTAACCTCCTCCAGCATCCCGATGATCCTGTGAGGTAAGTCATAACTCCTTTTTTCCTGGTTTTATTTTACCAAGAAACATCACCAGCTGCGAGTTGGTAACTTATCCAAAGCCATCTGATTTCAGTCTAATGTTCTAAATGCTACGTGTAATTTGATTTCGCCAGTGAGAGGAGGTAGGTGTATCCTGTATAGGTGACTGCTTGATTCTGGTTCTGAAGCTGCCGGGTCTGTCCTCATCAGCATTCTGTTGTAGCAGGATTGCAGCTCCTAGTGTATAGGGTTTCGATCCTGGGTGTTTCCTACTCATTCCCAACATGTTCTTGCCATTGCACATCACACATCTTTGGTCACCGATGACTAACACAGCTGCTGGCACTAGGAAATATGACTCATGTAGATTTAACAGAGAGGGCTCTAAATCACGGTAACTGCATCTTGAAGTCTCTTTAAAATCGGTGGCAACAACAAGGGAAAGGAAATGCTGTTACCCACTGAGGCTTTTCCTGCCCTTTTAATGACTGCTGATTGTGTTTGATGTGGGTAGCCCAACACAATGATGGTTTGGATATTGATGTCACTCTTACATCTTTGTTTTTCCAGCCAAGATGTTGTTTTGGCATGCGGTTCATTGCAGTTTGAGGGCTTGTAATTTCTCTGTGATCTGTTGTTTAAAAGTTTGCGGTGGCAGCTGCAACCACATTTTGAGGCTCACCTTCTGAAATATGGGCAGGTTTATGATGCTGGATCAAGAAGCATTGGCAGATGTATTCGTGACACTTGTTAAAAACCAGCCTGAGTTGGGGAGAGAAGTGTATGACGTGGGAGGGGTGTTCTACTAACTTTGGAAGAGTAGATAGTGCACATGTTATAATTTTGTACTTCTTCCGAATGTCCCAGTGGCATTGTTGTTGTTTGGTCATTTAGTCGTGTCTGGCTCTTCGTGACCCCCTGGACCAGAGCACGCCAGGCACTCCTGTCTTCCACTGCCTCCCGCAGTTTGGTCAAACTCATGCTGGTAGCTTCAAGAACACTGTCCAACCATCTTGTCCTCTGTCATCCCCTTCTCCTTGTGCCCTCCATCTTTCCCAGCATCAGGATCTTTTCCAGGGAGTCTTCTCTTCTCATGAGGTGGCCAAAGTATTGGAACCTCAGCTTCAGGATCTGTCCTTCCAGTGAGCACTCAGGGCTGATTTCCTTAAGAATGGATCGGTTTGATCTTCTTGCAGTCCATGGGACTCTCAAGAGTCTCCTCCAGCCCAGTGGCATTAGTAACCATAGTGACTTTTATGTAGTCAAAATGCTGTGGATTACTCAAAGTAAGATTAAGTTTTCAGGCCAGAGAATTTCAAGATATTTAAGGATTCTGTGTGGCTGGGATCTTAAATCAATCCCACAGACATAAATAAAGTTGGGTCAGTGTGATTTGGGTCACTTGATAAAGGCCACTTCTACATCATTGCCTTTGCTAGTTAGAACTGCATACATAAAAACCTAAGAACCCAGCTGGGTTAGTTAAAAAGGTCCATCTGGACCAGAACCTTGTTTTCACAGGCACCAGCCTCTGGGAAGCCCACAAACTGAGCATGAAAGCAAGAGTACGCTCCCAGCGTCTGTTCTCAGCAACTGTGTCAGCATGTAATGCTAAACCATGGTTTAGTGATATGTGGACAAAACTTTTGTCGGCATCCTTCGGGGATTGAGATGCCAGCTGGCTAGCCCCCAGCTGGATCATGCCCTTCCAGCCATGACAATCCCCCGATCTCTGGTGCCACGTAAATCAGCGACCCAGACTTCAAAAGCCTGAGCATGCTAAATTAGCAGAGTATACTGCGCAAATACAGGTGTGAGGCTTGTGGAAACATACTAACAGCTAAAGATTTATTAAGCTTAAATCAGGACAAAGAAAACATGTCATCTCCCTTTCTTCTCCTCAGAGAGACAGAGAAAAGCAAAAGCTATACACAAACGGAAGTTCCCAGCATACTGTGCTGGAATGTAAACAGACATGTGACACGTAACAATCCCATGTCTGCTCCTTAAGCTGGAATGGAAATTCTCAACAAAAACTACCTTAAGGCAAATGTTTGGCTCATGTGCTCCTCTTCACGTGCTTGGGAGGAGAGCTTCAGCATAGTTTAGTTTAAGTTTTTACAGAATCTCTACTTCGACAGTGTTCACACTTCTGTTTACTATGCGCTCGCTGTTATTTCCAGTGCTGGGTTTTTATCCTGGGTTCATACAATTTAATACATGTTAAATTATTGGCTGCAACTGCATTATGTGCTGAAACGGAGAGGCAAATGTGGACATCAACTGAAGTGTTTTGCTGTGGCCTGTTTAAGGATTTCTCTGTGGCCAGAAGGGCTAGGACTCCCCCACCCACACCCAATGTGCTTTATTTGGCGGTGGGGATGAGATACCTGGGATTACAGCAACAGCCACCAGGCTATATAACAGCAGGGGTGTTTATTATAAATACAATATTGATACGAAGTTACAAGTATTTCATGTGTTAATGAATTTGGTTTCTATGCAATGACAGAAACTTCTTCAGCTTCCCTGAAAATCAATTTTGCTTCTCTATTCTGGAAGAAGATGCTCTCAGACATGCAAAAAGCTTATATTCTCTCCCAGAAATTCCAGTAAAAGGTATTAAAGATACCAGCGATCAGCATTTTAAAATGATTTTAGTCTAAAATGCCCTTCTTTGCAAAGAAGCGTTAATTAGATGAGTTTTAAAACATCCCCACTAGTTGGTATTCCTGGCAATAACTGTTGAATGGTCATCCATTTGTATGAAGAAATGGGTCTTAAGATGAGTGTCTGAAAAAGTTATGTCAGACGCCCTTCAAATTCAGTTGCTGGTAGTTGAAATTTTAAGGGCTCTTCAAGAATAACTATTTAATTTACTTCAACCTCTGACTTGTCCACATATTTTAAGACTGAAGTGAAGCGAACAGCTCCTGCTGTTGACACATCATTTTTTCATCCTCTGATACACCACGGTCTGCTAAACCAATAGCATTTTTATCTCTGATGTTCTTTCACAATTCTCTGACAATGCCTTGTGAAACTTTCAATATTAGTTGTACAATGCCATCTTGTGGACACAAGGAGCCTAAAATATAGATAAAAGTATACAGCAGTGATGGCCAAACTTGGCCCTCCAGCTGTTTTGGGACTACAGTTCCCATCATCCCTGACCACTGGTCCTGTTAGCTAGGGATGATGGGAGTTGTAGTTCCCAAACAGCTGGCGGGCCAAGTTTGGCCATCACTGGTGTACAGGTGTAGAATTAAGAGGTCAAAAATGTAAATGTCAGGGTGTACTTCCTTAAATCTCTGAAAGTGGTAGCTGTATATTGAGAATAGGTAAGACTTTTGATCCCAGGACTGTGTTGTCAAATTTAACAGAGACATTGTACTAAAAGAAGCAACGGCAACTGTACCCAAACATACATCACATGCACACTCTTACTCTCGTGTGCATGCATATGTTTTGTGACGCAGATAAATAAATTTACTTGTATTAAATAAATACAAGAAATCTGCTTGACTGGAATTCCAGTTGCTACCCTGTGGCAATTGGGCATCTAAGTTTCCATGTTCTCTGTTGAACAAGCATTAGCCTAGGATGTTGTGGAGCGAAGGCAGCTAGTTTGAAATGTGATACACCCATTGTATCTATGACCCAGTTATCTCATACTGCTTACCAAGTATGCAAGTATTTATTAGAAACAGGATCCGGCACATAATCCAATTCCAAATTGCCTGCTTTCCCACCCTTTATGTTCCAGTATATTAATTACCGTAAAAT